ACTCCACACACTCCACACACTCCAAGGTACAAGCCATTCATCCAAAATATGCCTGATGCCACGTCTGAAGTGAGTCCTTCTCTATCACTCCATTCCTCTCTGTGTCTTTCTCTACATTTTAGCATGTCAAAGCTGAGGGGGGAAGAGCTTTGGAGCGTGTGTGTGTGTGTGTGNNGGGGGGGGGGGGACTGCCAGGTCAGCAGCCTCACCATGGAGACAGCAGTGAGAGCCGCTGCTGTTTTCTCCTTCCATGCCTCTTTTACCCCCCTTTTCCTCCTCTTGCCAACTTGCAGGAGTACAGTGCTCCATTTGCAGCAGCGAGGATACAAGTGCGTTTGGCTAGAGGTGATAAAAGTGAGAGAATGGGATGGTGAAGGGGGTTTAAGAGACAAATCAGACAATGGCACTCTGGAGAGAGGCCCAACACGGGTTTATAATTGCAGATAAATAAAGGAATGAGATTTTAAAAAAGAGAGAAAAAAGGGGGTGAGAAGGGTTTTTTAGGCAGAATATATGTAGAGGAGGGAAACAGAGGTACACTGAGACTATAGAAAGTAGTTTCTGTACGTGAGAGGGTGTGTGTGTGCATGACGAGGGGTGATAGGGGGGTGTTGGCACTGTACTAGTGAACATTAATGCTGCCTTTGTGGGGTCTGTGTGAGGTTTTATCCTTTTTTCCGTTCTCCAATTAGATCCCTCAGCCGGGGTCGGAGACTCTTGTTAGCGTTCCTGGCGTTGCACTCATCGTCTGTTGTCACCCTGCCAAACTATCCATATCATAAATCCCTTTCTCCTGCTCTCTCTCTCTCTCTCTAATCCCCCCCACCATTGGATACACACACACACACACACACACACACACTCACACATCATTCCTTGCTGTAATTCTGCTTCCCACTTAACTTTTAAGATAAAACAAGTCATGTTGTTCCATTGATTTGAGAATCTGATCTGATAGAAACCGTCACGCTGAGAATAGCAAGTAACCTTACTAAGAGTACGAATGTTAACAAGGCAGCAGCTTTACAGGAATTGAAAGTTGATTTCTTAATTGTAATGTAAATGAGAAAACTGGTTTCTGTAACTGCTGGAAGGGAAACCAGTTTACAAGTATGTTCCTTCTGATAACAAACTTCTTACAGGTTTCTGTTGTTGAAAAAGAAATTAAAAGCTGGATGATTGATGAAAGAAGAAATATGACACACCGTTGTGATTAAATAACTCTGACTCTGACTAAAACGAATACTGGAGAACGCTAAATAAGTTCCATGGCTGAACATTTTATTATTTGTTCAGTTCAGACACTTTTAATCACACACACAGTTAAAAATAATACTGATTGATCATCCTCACTACATATCCAACATCTATGTAGAGAGGATGTTGTGTCATATTGAACAGTGTACACTGAAACCATTTAAACGGAGCAGTTTCCCTTGAAAAAGGCACGTGTGCCGATTCTTGTTGTTGTTCTTATAATGTACCTGTCCATTTATTATGGGATTATTATTTTTAACCATCCATGGGTGTCTGGAGCTGGATTTGTCTTACTACCACTACTGTTGTTATTAAAGCTGATTATGGAAAGATACAGTGTAAAATGTGGTGTTTAATGTTTGTATCTCCTTACCAGGTGAGGATAGCCGCATGGCTGATGAACTCTACAAAAAAGTGCGCATTCTTTGCTGGGTGATGACTGGACCCAACAACCTGGAGAAGAAGGCTCGGCACGTGAAGTCCACTTGGAGTCGCCACTGCAATATTGTGGTCTTCATGAGCTCTGTGGAGGACCCCGACTTCCCCACAGTGGGCTTGGGCACAAAGGAGGGTCGGGACCAGCTGTACTGGAAAACGATCCGGGCCTTCCATTATGCCTATGAGCATCATGTCCATGAGGCCGATTGGTTCCTCAAGGCAGATGACGACACCTATGTAATCGTAGACAACCTGCGCTGGGTTCTTGCGAACCACACGCCGGACGAGCCGATTTACTTTGGCCGAAGATTCAAACCCTACACCAAGCAGGGCTACATGAGTGGTGGTGCCGGCTACGTGCTGAGCAGAGAGGCTCTGCGGCGGTTTGTAGAAGGATTTAAAAACAAACTGTGCACGCACACTACCTCTGTAGAAGACCTTGCAATGGGGCAGTGCATGGAGAAGGTCGGGGTGCTGGCCGGTGACTCCAGAGACACTGTGCAGAGGGAAACATTTCACCCATTTGTGCCCGAGCAGCACCTCACTGCCAAGTTTCCCAAAAGCTTCTGGTATTGGAGCTACTGCTACTACCCCATCTCAGAGGTAAGTTCAGCAGATGTTTCTCTTCACTCTTGTATGTCTGATATGAAGCAACCTCAGCAGAGTTCATATTTGTTCATATAAATCTGACACTTTCACGTCTGCGTAATGTTGTGCGTAATAATCACATACTCGTTTTTCCTCAGGGACCAAACTGCTGCTCGGATGTGTCCGTGTCTTTCCACTATGTAGGTGCTTCACATATGTATTTATTGGAGTACTACACCTATCACCTACGTGCCTTTGGATACAGATACCGTTACCAGCCCCCCACTCCACTAGGCTCCGTTATTAAACAGATGAGTTCCGGAGACACTGCAGAAGGAAAAAAAGAGCTGGTTTCTCAGGAGAAAGGCCAAGGAGAGGGGGATGAATCATCCAGGAAGGACAAGAGACAGGATGGAGATCCCCCTCCTGCAGCTGGTGAAGACCCTCCTGTTGCTCCAGCAGGCAAATAACTGTAGGACTGTGTGAGTGTGACAGGAACTGATCATTATCTAGGTCCAAGGTGTGATTTGAGTGCTTGCTTTTTCATTCTGTTAGTTTTGGCTCTTATTTCTACAAGAGTAGACAAACAGCCCACTTTGATTTGAATTGTTCCCACATACAAGTGTATTGCCTGGGGCTTGTCCAACTGAAGGACTTTTACAAACACTGACTGTAAGACTGATGGGTGAATTATGACTAACCTTTGTTTTTCTTTTTGTTTTTAACAACTGTGTGTCTTCTTTAGAAGTTGGGAACAGCTTTCTGTAAGCTGCATTCATTTGAACTATGCTTTGAACTAAAGCACCTTTTTAATCCATTTCAACCTAGAATGGGAACCAGGTATTATCCAGAGTTAAATTGGAGTTTGCGACGTTATATTCTTTTTCTTGACTATTGCAAGCCCACCAAAAGTTGATCTACCGCTCTCTACATAAGCCAGTAGTGGTTGATCTGTTGGACCTGTTGGACTTGTTTGACTTCATTTCACACATGGATAGACGTAGATAACTGAAGGCCAGTGAAACCCAATAATGCTTCCTGGGCTTAGAGAGCTTTTAGCTGAAAAAGAAGCACTAATAATAATAATATTATCATTAGGTTTGCTGCCTCCCAAACTTGATTCAGGCTGCATTTAAAATCATTTTCTCAATACAGACAAATGTAATGTAACCTCCACGTTCTGTGTAGGAATTAACTCATTTTTATTTAGCTTTAGGGATCGAAGGGTTAAAGTAACTCAGTGAAACCTCTCAGTTGGCTTGGATGTAGTGCTGTCAGTCAGTCTTGACGAGGAATAGTAGCATACAGTCAGAGGTTCCGCTGGTCCCCAGTTGAAAAACTGTTCAACGTGTGTGGCTTATGCTGGCGGTAATACTTCAATATAATGAACAGAGTGCACAGAGAAGAGTCTGCTAGGGAAGAGGAACTCTTTCTCCCTGCAGCATTTGAGGAACTTCGCCATGCAGATTCAGACATTATAGCAAATCCGTAACTAAAACACTGGGAGGGGGTATAATGAAAGCTCTGCATCTCTGTTGTGGAGGATAAAGGATTTCAGCATACGATTAGTATTGTGGCCATTTTTATATAAAAGTAACAAAGCATAATGTTTTGCACAAATAAGAAAACCTTTTAATTAAGATTTGACAATGACAAAGTGTCTACGTTCTTTAAATTACTGGCCAGAATATTCAGCAAAGTAAATGTGATCCTGTTTTCAGCCAGGATCTTGCAGCCTTAACCAAGTGTTAGTGGAGTGGAAAAAGCAAATAGACCAATATCCTTGTCAGAAAAACCAAACCAGACGTACAATTACATTCGGGATGTAGCTTTTCGACCATGAAGCTTGGATCCGTCTGATGGATCCTCCCTCTACACACACCTGTAGCTGAGTTTGACAAATGTCTTTGTTTGTTTTGGCACATGCCTATCTGCACCTGTATTTCCTGAAGCTGACACTGGAAACACACAGTTCCTATCATTGTTCCCCAGTGAACTCATTAGCTTGTGCCTTGTAAATTGAGATTGTATGAGCCATCAGCTGCACACATGACTTTCCACTGTGACGTTACCATGTTGAGAGTAATGCTTTCAGATGTAGTCTAATTTTATTGAATCCCTCCAATGTATTTAGTATGGCCTTTGAGTAAGCCAGTGGATGACTTGTTCATGACTAGAATTTCATTTTCTACAGTGTTGTTTAATTTTTAAATGCTTGGTGGGCCAGTCTTTCTTTTGTAATTAGTAAATTGTGGGTATTTAAAAGTATTCATAACTGTTCTGTTATTACTTTGTAACCGACAAAGAATTAATTTTGTTGGCGTTACAGTTGTTACCAAATACAAAAAAGTGGCTTCAGGAATGAGGCAGGATTCACTGACGATTCACAATTGCATGCACTTTTTAGTCTTAGAAGTGCTGTTTTTCTTTTGAACCACTTAATTGTTTTATTCAAATGTATGAGGTAACTCATGCCTATCAAAAATGTTTGTAAGTGAGCACAGAGAGCATGCTCCATTTGTTTTGTCTTCTATTAAAAATGGAAAAGTCCAGTTTAAACCAAATCTGCATGTTTTACATAACGGTTTCTTTTGTAATTAATGATGTGAAATCTTCGCATTAGTGAATTACCAGTCTTTCACGCAGATTCTTACTGTCAGTGGATCGAAGTCTTGAGGGCCCAAACACTTTGTTGATAACCAGTGACCACACATCAAGTCCTTGACAATCTCCTCCCAACTTTAACATTTTATCAAAGGGAAAGGTGTACAGTACTGTATTTATATTTGAAATGTATTTATGTTGGTATTGATGTTTAAATTGAGTCGATACGCTTTGGTGTGTAAATGAGTTTGTGAGAGTGTGTGAGCACACTTGATCAGTGTGCAGGATCGTTTTCAATGAATGGTACTTTAATCACTATAAATAAATGCATATTTTATTGTACATTTGTTTACATTTGTTTGCATTCAAGTCAGAACATTTTCCAGAGACAGTAGTAGGCATTCATGCAGGGTTAATATGGCTTTTCCACCTCTCTGTGGTTAAATAGCTCTGATACATTGCCCTCAGTTGATACAATAGCTGTGAGGGACCGAGAGGTTTACAGCCTGTGTTGAGGTTGTGCAGGTGCGATGTCTCCTCCACAGAAAGTGTTGAAACCTAGGGGAGAGAACAAGTTCGAAAAAGGTTTGAGCAACAAATATTTTCTGTCTTTTTGAATGTTAGGAATGATGTCAGTCTCTTACCGCGGCCTCCTGTAGTTGATGAGTCAGCCTCTAATTTTCAGTGAATACTCCTCGAGGCATGGACAGACCAGTCCTGTTGCATTCACAAAAAAAGGTTCAAGCTTACCTGCACTCTATAATTATGCAGCCACTAGTTATTCTAATGCCTACAGCAAAAGCCTTATACACTAGATCCTGTTTCCCAGAGGGCACTGCTTTTGATAAGTCTGTCAACTAAACACCCCGAAGCTATTTTGTGATGTGTTAACACTTTGGTAAAGCGCACTCAGCAGAGGATATTGTGTGAATTTGGTAATTAGCCTGTAACTTTATGCACTCTGATTTTCAGCACTTGAATGTTGACCAACCAGCACGTCACATATAAATTGGCCTGACAGATTTATTCTCCAATATAGGCTTATTGCAGATTTATCAGTATTGGTTTGTGTGTGTGTCAGCTTATAAGAAACTGAAGTACAGAAATTCCAAACAAACGAAATGTGAATGTGTTGTGAATACTTAACGACCAATCACTGATCCACATTGAGAAAATTCTGTCCAATAGAGACCGAGACAATAAAAGATTATCGCTTGGTAAAATATCAACCTGCGAATGTGAATGTGGAAGTTTGAAGTCAGAAATTGGTTATGACACAGTGTTTGAGTAAAAAATAACATGAACATACTGCTTGTGTCTGAAAGTGCTGTGGCTAATTAAACCCTGCAGGAATGACTTGCTTTCTTCAGACTTAAATCAAACACAATCATTCCTCGCCTTGTAATCAGAATAAATGCATTATATTTATATATTATTATACAGCCTGCAAGAGTTTACGTCTGTTTTTTCCCCACTGTCAGTTTGTTGTTGGAGCAGCTGGTAAAGGCACAATGCAGAACAGACACCACACAAGTGGACTAAACTTCCCTGAAAAGTTTCGTAGATTAACCTTTAATGTTATTTTTTAATATTTTTATGTAAAAACACAATTATCAGCCAATATTGCTATCCATGTTTTATTTAAACATCAAATATCATTATTGGTATCTGCCTCAAATGGTCAAGTATTGGTCCGGGTATAACAAATATCACAGGCTGTAATCTCCATATACAGTATTTGTCCTACACAGAGCCACACAATACACTGTAATATAGAGAAAAGTGAATCAATAGAATACTGTATGACTTGAATTTTGTCACTCACTTGTTCTCCGCCCCAACAGAGCAGCGAGGATGTGATCCATGTATCCTGAATCAGATGAACATAAAATGTATCACAAAGCCTGAAAGCTACGAGGCCATTACAGAAACAAACACTGAATATTTTCTTACTTTTCTTTGACATCTGGGTGTTTCTTTGACCTACAAAGAGAGTTAGGGGTTAGACGTCAGGAGCTGCAGTGTCAGTGAGAGTACTGTAAGATGAAAAACTAACTCACTGTTTGGTTGAGCAGCACTTCTCCTCCCCATTAGACTCACGAAGCTGTCGTAGTCGATGTCATCAAATCTCTTCTCTGCATCTTCACTAACGCAGCACTCTGGCTTAGCCTGGAAGCCAAAACAGCAGTAACATCATCATTTGTTAGGCAGCTACAGTGACCTGCAGGAACAGGCCATAGCTAACATGACTTTGTAAATATCTTACAAATGTAGCTAGTCTTACCCGTGACGTTGCTTTGTAGATGTCTTCCTTACACCAAGACCTCACGGGAAAAAGGACGAGGATGACTAGAACGACCAGTGAAGCAACGGTGCAGCAGTTTGAAGTCCTCTCCATCACTCTGAAATGTGAACCAGTGCAGCAGATTTAAAGCAGACAATACCTGCACATAAACAGGCTGAGAGTTAGTCTCCCTACAACACTATTATATATCAGTCAAACTGTTTTCTATCGTCTCTGGTGTTTCGGTTTTTCGTTTACTAGCAAAAGTTTTACCATCATCACATACTACGCTAACATATTTTCATGTGTTTTAGCAAAACATTTTGACTTTTTAGATTTTGTTTCATATAATCTATGTTATGTTATTAATCTATATCTATATATATTTCGTGTGAAACCTTAAAATGTGTTGTTTAGAGCATTTTCAGGTTTTATGTTTTTTTTTATGCTTTGCAGCGTCTTTTCAACTATTCTTGAAAACCTTCAACGCACAGATGTCTCTCACACAATGTAATTATCTAAGCAACACATGTTTTTGAAGCTTTTGAACTATGAACCTCAAGCTAAGGGAGTGCCTCTCAACCCTTCTATTAACTTCCATTTTAAGGGAGACCTGAGATTTACTGTTGAACAGAGAAATTCTTGCTTTTTAAACGTGTGTTACACATGCATATAATACATATCTATAGGTGTTTAACTTTTTCAGATGCACTCTACTGTGAGAACAGACATTTTATGTACCTCAGCTGTGAGTATACAGTATTTAGTTGTGTCTTTCTTTACTCTTCATTACCCATTTATTTTAAATCTCAGCTGGAGTTCAAACTCTGCTTCATATCTCATTGCGCTCTGCCCAGTGGGCCATACATTAGCTATTCTGAGGATAAAATGAATAAAGACTAAATGTTGGGTGGTTTCAAGCGTCCGTTCACTCCCATGGCATCTATAATTGAAGTGGTTTTCCGTTTTCTATCCGTGCTATCAGCATAACATCCTGAAACAATCTCAGCCTCTTCTTTATCAAATAGTTGTCTTTTAATGCTCTTTAATTAAATCAGTCTCTAGCAGCATGTGACTGTCCTGAGAGATATAAACTGCAGTAGCTAATGCAAAACATTTTAAAACTAATATTGTATCTTGTATAAGAAACATTGGTACACGGTATAATATAAAATGTATCTGTAGCTACATTAACGGTCAGTCCCAAAATCACGAAAAGGTAACTGAACTATTTGTTGCAGCAACAGCCACACAAGTAGTTCTATAGACAGATTAAACACTTCATAATAAGGGTTCGAAACACATGTTTAAGTAATGCATAACTAATGGATGCAACAGCATACCAGCTTGATTAAAACCAAAACAATCATGATAATTTGTTAATGAAGAATTCATGATACACCTGAATTAATAAATACATTAATTCACCATGATGCATTAGTTAAGGACATTTTTCGAATTACACAGTTTACACATTTGTTACACAAACACATACTTTTACAAAGCCTGGTATCAGGTATGAACATTACCATCTGATCTGAAGACTTCAAAAATAACTCACTGGTTTTTACATGGAGGGATATTTTTTACATAAAATATCCTTGTCCTTTCCTTTCTGTCTGTGGAAAATAAAGTATAACCTTTGACTTAAAAATAGACGATTTTTAAAGCTCCCCTTAATGTCTCAAAGTATGTTTTCAGGGGACCTCGTGTCCTTTTCAGGGAGTCGAGCTCCCCATAGCTCCCCATAGCTCCCCATAGCTCCCGCGTAATTCGAACCATGGTAAAGCATGTGTTTTGTACCCTTGTTATAAATGTAAAGTGCTACAAATGTTTTGCACTTATTAGACCTAAAGTAAAATATAAAAAGTGTTAAATTGTTCACCTTCCAACTAATTAATTCCAATTAAATGACTTAACTTTACTCAATTCACAGCAGGTTAGCTAAACATGCAAATGTGTAATTTGTCTGCAGCCATACACACGATTCAAATAAATTGATCTATAAATACTTGGGTTTAAAATGGAAAGAGAGTCTCAGAACCAAACTACATAGTTCTTTAGCCAAAGAATACTTCCAACACATTATTAGGAAATTATAACTAGGAAATAGTGGACCCATTAATTGTATTTAATAATTTTAATATACTTATTAAGCAATAAAGTACAATAGAAATAAAATTGTTCAACACATTGGTGTTTTGTAGTGAAGATTATAAACCAATCCTGATAACTAATCCAATAAATCATGTAAGTATTATGAGATTATATCAATATAAAATATGCTGGTACAGTATCTTTACTAAACACAGTATAACTCATAAATCATCCTTAATCTCAATAATCTATTGCATAAATAAGGAATGAAAGAAGATATTACCTGTTGACAGTTTAATCTTGATCTGATCCAGCAGTACAAACCAGTGGTCTGTTCAACAGTTTACTGGTATTAAAGGCTGTCAAGTCAAATTCTGTCTTTCCGCTCAGCAGCCTCTCTACCTCAATTATTATAGTCCTCCAGCTCATTTGTAATCCAATTAGAGCTCCACCCGCCACCCCTACACACACACACACACACACACACACACACACACATGCACACAGTTAGTAAATTGTCTTATTTAATAACTGAAAGAGTCAACATGAGATTTTTGGATGCAGTTGTAATAATAATATAAGGAAAGGTCCTGTAATATTTTCACCTGTGATTATTGAATAAAATTAACATTAAAATTGTTGATTCTAACTGCAAACAATACAAATGTATGTGTGTGTGTGTGTGTGTGTGTGTGTGTGTGTGTGTGTGTGTCCCGGGACGGGAAGAGGATTTCAGAGGGGGGGGCATGGATCCAGGAGGTCTGCCTCGAACAGGTTCGCCTTGAGATCTTACCAGAGCCTCTTTGCCACCTCCTGCTACAGATGCCTGGTAGGGACAATCTTTATCTGTTGGTGATTTTAGGGCTTTGCTTTGGGGGAGATTTTCCTGCCTCTTCTTACCGGCTCCCCATCTGTCATTTACCTCTCCCTTTTCAATGACATCAGAGATATTAGTGGAGTG